TGGAATTGAACCTGGTCAATACGTGAGGGAAAGTAAAGGGTAAAGAACAAATGGTTACTTAATTAGTGGACAGAAAGCTGTTTCCATTAAATGGTGGAAATAAGCAGAAGCACCAACCTTAACTATCTATTAACCTCATCGCATATAAATAAAAATAATAATTATATAATGCTGTTAATAATAGAAAAAAAATATGAAAAATATATGCAATATAAGTTTCTTTTGATTTATATATATATATTGTTAATGTTATTAATAGAACAAAACAAAGTTTTTTTTTTTTTACTTGAAGGTTATAAGTTTAAGAGGTATGATAATATATCACTCACTTAAAGTAAATTTAAATCTCATTCTCTGAATAAAAAAAATTGATATTTATTTTCTTTTCAATTATTGAAAAAAATACATACATAACTTGTCAATATTATAAAATATCTACAACGAAATAAATCTTACCAAATATAATTTATTTTTAATTGTATCAAATATATATAAAAAAAAAAATTTATTACCATAAAATAGTATTGGATAGAGGTGGATCTTAGTGCCAAAAAGTGGAAAGTTTTTTATTATTTTTTCATAGACATGAAATTTATTTTAATTATGATTTTAATTTCTTTAATGTGTAATAACAAAAATGAATTTTACATAAAAATTAATAAAATTTCAATTTCACTTTAGACAAATTGATTTGCAGCTATTTGATATATTTTAAGAAACTTGTACTTGTTTCCTGACAGAAAGCAACTACCTCTTTTTTATTACAAATAGGATTATCCAGGCGGCAAGCAACTACCTCCCCTCCACTCTATAATTATCAACAGAAATTTTCAGTTTCTATGTGATTTTCCAAATTAAGAGAAGTTTTCCTCTCGAATTTTCCCCAATGGCTTCCCTTACTTACCAATGTAGTGACCTGCGACACGTTGTTTTCCATCGCCTTGAACCAGAATCTCCTTCCCCTACTTCCAATTCCACTCAAGACATTGAAGTAACCATCACTCTTCAACTCGACCTCAAGCGCCATTATTGCTTAACAAATCAATTCATCGATCTTGACGAAGAGGGTCCTTTATTCTTCCAAGAAACTGTTCGTTTCGATCTCCGTGTTTTGAGAAACCCTTATCGAGCTGCCCTTATTCTTGGTCTCGTGCTACGAAGACATTACATCACCCACAACTCTCCCTCCTACGACGCTATCATCGATGATATCATCCGGCACGGACATACAATCGGAAACTGGAAGTCCAACAAGGGACGTCAAGTCTTGCCTTTGCTCGTAGAGATATCGGGAACACTTGTGCAACACGTAAACTACGAGGAAGACGAAGGTTTGATAGGAAGAGCTTTAGAAGAATCAGCCTCGGAGTTGGAAACAAGCAACTATAACATGGTTCCAGCGAAGGAGTCATCGGTGAAGAAGATGCTGAAGAGGGTTAGGGTCGAAGGTGGAGACCGTGATGGAGAAAATATCAAGAAAAGACGCGTGATAGCATGATGAGTGCGTGATATGTTTGGAAGAACTTAAAGTTGGATCAGATGTTTCTCAGATGCCATGTTCTCATACTTTTCATGCTGACTGCATTGAAACGTGGTTGAAGCAGAGCCATTATTGTCCTGTTTGCCGGTTTGAGATGCCGATTTGAGAGACTGATGTGTGCTTTTTGCGTTCTTTTTGCTTCTAGTCGAAGAGAAAAAGCTCTTCTAAATTTGGGAACTTGTAATTTATCTTTTGAAGGGGTTTTTCTCTTTCATTAGTTTTGTTTATTTTAGTTTTTGTGCTTCAGGATGTGCAATACATGATAGATATTATTCTTCCTTTATATTGCTTGATTTGATATTTTTTATTTTGCTTGACCAA